TTCATGAACTCCATGACCTAAAAGTAGGCTTTGATACTCTTCAATTGTTCAGTTGACCTAGGATTGACCCAGATGAAATCCTAATTGCTTACACTTCAACCGTGGCTCTTGCATTTGACACAATGACTTGATTGAGCTCTCCCATGGCCCTCTAGGAATTCTATGAGCTCCATACACACCCTCTTCTCATATTCAACACTTCACATCCCTCTGATGGTCTTCAATTGATCCTCAAGTTAGGAGAAAATCTTTATGCAATAATCTAAACTCTTAGGCACTCAAACCACCTCCTGATGACCTTGATAACTTCTTAAACTTGAATAAAACCTCTTGCTAGGCTCCTCTTGATAAGAATCACACTTTATCCCCTTCTATATGAATGATATCATGATATGCAAATGATATAACTATATAAATGTTAATGCAATGAAACATAAACCAAGTAAGAAAAGGTTGAGCAAATTTTGGGGTACAACAAGTATGATCGTTACGCCTTGAGTGCGTTGTGGTTGGTGTGTTGTGGTGAGTGGATCCGTGAGGATCGGTACGCTTATTATGCGTTGCACTTATGTGCGGCTATGTGATATATTTGGGTCAGAAGGACCGACGTGCCTTGTGTGCATTGTATGTGATAAGTTGTGTGGTGAGTGGAATAGTGGGATCGACACGCCTTGAGTGCGTTGTGGTGATATGTTGTGATGAGAGGATCTGTAGGATCGATACGCTTTATATGCGCCGTGTTTATGTGTTGTTGTGATGAGTGGGTCAGTAGGACCGATATGCCTTAGGTGCATGATGTGTGATATGTTGTGTGGTGAGTTGATCGGTAGGATCGATGCACTTTGCGTGCTTGTGTATGTATGCATATTATGATGCGATGGACCAGTGGGGTCGTGTGCACTGTGTGTTTATGCATAGTGTCTTGCATAGCGTGTGGATGTGAAGCCTGTGTGGCTCACATGCTCCAAATGGGGAGTGTGAACGTGAGGCCTGTGTGGCTCACGTGCTCCAAATGGGGAGCGTGTGGATGCAGTGTATGATTCACTGGCGTGCTCCGGTGGGGAGCGTGGACGGGATTTGGATCGTTGCTCGGATGAAGTGTATGCGACCACCCGTGTCCCAAGTGGGGGACGTTGATGATTTGATTATATGGGCTCAAGAGGAGCATGGTAGGAATAGATCGTTGCTCGGTGGAGTGTACGCGATCTACCCTGAGTTGAGTCGGTACCGCATATTATTGGGTCAAGTGCATATGTTGCATGGTGTTTTGTGTATGTGTTGTGATTGTTGATGATGGGACAGTAGGTCCGGGGGTGTAAAATATGAAATAAATGATTTATTGTTTTCTGCCTTTTATTTCATGTGTGTTTATACCGTTATTATTTGATCGTGATTCTCACCCCTCTGTTGTTGTTGTGGTATGTGCTTCTTCAGAAGTACAGACAATCCAGGTGTTTAGCTAGCTTGGATTGTGGTGTCGTCGTAGGATTGCTCTGATACGTAACACCTGGGCTTTTTGGGGATTCCAATCATAATATGGATCAATTCATAAATTATATGATTCATTTTGATAATTAACCGATGTTTCATCTGAGTAATTAGTTTTAAAACTAAATCGTGCATGTTCTGTTATATTATGTAGTACTTTGATGAATTCAAGTGCGGTACTTACTCGAAAGCAGGATTGGAAGAAATAAAGGAGGAATGGTGTCAATTTATTCTTGAGTTGAGAATTGTATAAGGTATATGTATCATCCAATATTGATGCGGGATAATAATATTTCTGGAAGTCGTATCTATTTGTAAAGTTAACGGATTTGTAATTATATGTAAATTGACTGTATTTGTGATGTTGTAATTCTGAGGATCGGATTGTGTTGTAATATATTTAAGCAGGTTTATGTGTATTAAAATGATTATGAGAAAAGTGATGAATTACAATGTATACTTAAAGGCCAAAGTGTTGAATTGTATATATAAGGCCAAAGTGTTGAAATAAAGGCCTGAATTATAAGCAGGGAATGTAATTGTTATAAGCAGGTTTATCGAAAAATATATAAAAAATGTGATTATTTAAAAAAAAAATTTAAAATCGTGAAGATTAAACAGCGCTTTTACAAAAAAGCGCTGCTAAAGGGGACACAGAGAGCGCTAAAAAAGCGCTGCTATAGGTGGGGAAAGGGGGGGGGGGGGGTCTAAGAAAGCGCTTTATAAAAGCGCTTCTAAAAGGGGGGGGGGGGGGTCTAAGAAAACGCTTTAAAAAGTGCTGCTAAAGGGGGGGGGGGGGTCTAAGAAAGCGCTTTCTAAAAGCGTTGCTAAAAGGGGGGAGGGGAGGGGGAATAGGCAGCACTTTTAAAAGCGCTGCTAAAGGGGTAAATAAGCGCTGCTAAATGTGTTGGTAAAGGGAGCCTATAGCAGCGCTTTTTCCATAAAAAAAGCGATGCCTTTACCTTTAGCAACGCCACTTTAGGCAGCGCGTCTTTTTTAGCATAGTGTGTCAAGGAGGGAAAGGCTTTTGTCAATGAAGGAAAGACTTCTGTTAGTGAAGGAAAGGCTAATGTCAAGGAGGGAAAATCTACTATCAAGGGGAGAAAAGCAATTGTCAATGAGGGAAATGCTACTATCATGGAGGGAAAGGCTAGTGTCAAGGGGGGAAATGCTTTTATCAAGGAGGATACGACAAATGATCAAGATGCAACGGTCATTGAGGAAATGGTAAGTGAACTACGTGAGCCAACTAAAAGGGACCAACCTACACGTTCTTCATGTTTGGGTGAAACTTTGGTTGCATTATTAGGGGTGGTGAGGTTTTGGGTAATCAACCTTTAAGGGTTGAAAAATCACCTCTCAAGGAAAGTGCAAAGTAATGTCAAGTTTTTCTTTGGTAAGCAACCCAAAGTGTGCAAGAACAAGCCTTTCAAACCACCTGGTATTATAACAAACCTTTCAAGGCCAAGTTCTAGTGAACCACCTAAGTTTAAAACCCAGAGTAGGTACAAGACACAGACTAATGTTGCAGCAGAAAAAAGGCATAGTGAAAGGTTGAGGACCTTGAAAACAAAGAACATTCTTGGCCCTAGAAAGAAATTCAATGACCCTTTGGATCTAACTGAAGAAGATAACACAACTGACAAAGGTCTAACCCAATAAAGCAGTAGTATTTTGCAGATGAACTTGTGTAAGAACAAATATTTTGATGTAATGTATTGATGTAGTTTTTTGCTCTATGTGATGTACTGATGTAACCTTTTGAACAAATCATGTTCTTTTGATGTAATGGAAATGATGTATTGTATTGATCAGTTTCTTGTACTGATGTAGTCTTGTGAACCTGTTATGATATGCTAATTTAATGAAATCTGTTGAGTCTAATCTGTCTTGCGAACACGTTATGGTATGCTAATTGTGAACCTGTGAACATTCTGTTTTGATCAGTTTCTTGTACTCATGTTCCTTGATTGATAATAGATCATTCTGGTGAAATCTGTTGAGTCCATATGGTTTTAATGTGAAAATTATAGATCATTTTGCTTGAAAATTATGGCTCATATCATGCCAGACTTATATGTCATTGTATGTCTAAATTTTAAGACCACCTAATAGGTCAATTTTATACAGTGAATTATATGCTAGTTAGACATACAGAAATGCAAGCTTTGATGACCATTGTCTGCATATTTTATAGGTCAATTATTAAGGCCACCTTTTCTGCTAAATTTATATCTCATATTATGTCTAATTTATAGGTCATATTGTGTCAAAACTATGTTCCTTGACTGAAACTACAAAATGAACATACTAATTGAACAATACTAAACGAATTACACAAAATTCCAATTTGTATTTCATACCAATTCAACATTACAAAACCAGTTCAGGTTACATTTCACAAAATACCACTTAGACAAGATTAACACTTACAAATATTACAGACGATTACACCTAATCAACAATTACACATAATTAACAAATACAAGTTGACCAAGACTGAAACTATAACACATATTGTCTTCAGCTTCCCCAAAATGCCTCTTCCTTAATCTTTATCTTCAACCTCTTGTTCTTCTTCATGGATGATTCGTAAAGCTCCTCTAGAGTTTCTAAAGCTTGCATTTCCCTCACCTTACTCTCATCCTTCCTCCATTATGAATCTACACATTCCTCATCATCCTTTCCTTGTGCAATTTCATCATCCCAAATAAATAAGTTGCAAGTACCCTTGTTTTTCCAATACGAACATCTCTAAAACAATCGACCTTTGTTCTTTCCGTTCTTGCGCATGTATGAAATTATAACACCATTGCATCCACACCTTTTTACTCCACGGTTCGTCACACTCGTCGAATAGTACGAAACTATTTTACTTAACCTTGATGAAGATGACATATTTCTGAGATGGAGGAGGGAGACGAATAAGAAGAAGAAGAACGAATGGCAATGGTTGAGTGCGAACAATTGTACAAATGTTGTGTTATGGAGGAAAACGATGAACAAAGGATTAGGGTTCACTCAGTTTGTCTCTACTATTTATGATAACAAATAAATTATTCCAAATCAAACTGACGTGGCCATGATAAGGATCCCCGTGATATGCCACATCACCCTCCGTTAGAGAAAACTAACGGGGAGACATTTTTATGGACGAAAAACTTTTTGAGGACCTCAAACATATTAACCCAATTTTTTATTTATAAATTTGATATATTATTTAAAAAAAAATAAATTCTTGTAAAATTTGACACAATCAATTATTTTATTAAGTATTAATAATTTTATTAATTTATTTGAAAACGCCTTGTAGAATCATCCGGAAAAGGTAATCATAACGCACCCAAAACAACGCGTACCAAAGGGGAGAAAAAGTCCATACATAACAATATCCTTTTCCCTTCTTTCCTCACTCGTCCTCTTCCCCTGCAACCTAACAAAACCCCCCAAATTCATTCTCCCCAACACAATCTCCAAGCCCTAATCCGATCACCTCAAAACAACATCCACCGATGTGGGCTGCTTCGTGCTTGGCGTCATGCTGCGCCGCCTGCGCATGCGACGCTTGCAGGACCGTCGTTTCTGGAATCAGCCGTCGTTCAGCCAGGATCGCTTACTGCGGTCTTTTCGCTCTTTCCCTCGTCGTTGCGTGGATCCTCCGTGAAGTCGCGGCTCCTCTCATGGAATCGATTCCCTGTAACAATCCCCTCCTTCAAACCCTAATTTTCTTATCTTTTTAATTTCTAATTATATGAAATAAAATTCTTTATTCTGCAATTGAAGGATTGTATGTAACTCACCTCTTTAATAATTATCAAGCTGTTTGTTTAATTTGAAATGTTTAACTTTTTAATTTATTTATTATTACTTTTTTTTTTGAAAATTGTGTTGTTGTAAAATTACCATGTTTGTTTTTACAAGTTAATGTAGTGAATTTAGATGAGGATATAATTGGGTTATTATGGAGCTAATGTATTTGAAAAATGGTGCAGGGATTAATCACTTTAAACAAACTCCGAGCCGTGAGTGGTTTGAGACAGATGCAGTTCTACGTGTTAGCTTTGGAAACTTTCTATTTTTCACTATTCTGGCTACTATGATGGTTGGTGTCAAAACTCAGAAGGATCCTCGTGATGGCTTGCATCATGGGGGTTGGATGATGAAAATCATCTGTTGGTGTCTTATGGTTATCCTTACATTTTTTCTTCCGAATGAGTTCATCAGCTTTTATGGTGAGAATGCTTATAAATGTTGAAATGGATTCGTTTTAGTTAATTTTCATGCATATTGAGTTTTGTGTTGTTGATACAATCATAAATTTGATTCGAAGAGAAATTGTGTAGTGTTTTCCTATGCATTTGACATTTAATTTTGTTTACGGGAGGGATGAATTTTGTTTATTTGCAGAAACAATATCAAAGTTTGGCTCCGGTTTATTTCTTCTAGTTCAAGTTGTGCTCTTGTTGGATTTTGTTCATGGATGGAATGACAAATGGGTTGGATTTGATGAACAATTCTGGTCAGTTTTAGGCTTTGTTATATTATTTTTAACATAGTTTCCTTTACTTGATATTATAGGTTTTAATGACATATCAGTATTTAATTGTTTCTTTGTTGAAACAGGTATGTTGCTTTATTTGTTGTTTCACTTGTTTGTTATGTTGCCACACTTGTATTTTCTGGAGTTCTCTTTCACTTCTTCACGCCGTCTGGACAAGACTGTGGAATCAATGTCTTTTTTATTACTATGACCCTGATGCTCGCATTTGTTTTTGCCATAGTAGCTTTGCACCCTGCGGTTAGTTTATTTATTTAATTTTACTGTATCTAACTTCTAAAAATTTATTTCCTTGTTTTTCATATGTGGAATTTTACCAATGTTGTTTTTATCCTATAAAATTGAATTGTCGTTGCTTGGAAGTTGTAAATGATACATTTTCCACTTGTTTTAACTTGTGCACATCATGAAAACGTGACTGCATATAAATATTCATCTATAACCTGTTAGTTAATATCAAATATAGTTTGTATCTGCATTGTCTTGGTTATATGTTTCTAATGGAATGTAAAGTTATTTATTATGATTTATGATGATACATACTATACAATATTTTTCTTTTCTGCTTTAAAAATATATAGAAGCTTATACCGCACTTATCATTATACAGGTAAATGGAAGCATTTTGCCTGCTTCAGTAATATCATTATACTGCACTTATCTCTGCTATAGTGCACTGGCCAGTGAACCCAGAGATTATGCGTGCAATGGTCTTCACAAACACTCAAAAGCTGTTTCCACTGGCTCTCTTACTTTGGGATTAGTCACAACTGTTCTTTCAGTTGTGTATTCTGCTGTTCGGGCTGGATCTTCCGCTACAGTGCTTTCCCCACCAAGTTCTCCTCGTGCTGGTAAATTATCAAAACCCATGGTTCTTTATTTTGTCGAGATATGCTAAATTCACAGGTCTAGACAACTGATATCTGAACTTGAAATCTATGAATGTTTTTGTGGTCATGAAGTGTATTTTTGATTTTAGTGCTATGAAGAAAAATAATGAACTATCATGTTAATTGATTAGCAATAATTCCGTGCGTGCAATTATTCCTAACAAGCTTCCATTTCTGGTTATTCTGCAGGGAAGCCGTTGCTTCCATTGGATGTTAAGGAGGAAGAAAGTAATGAGAAAGCAAAGCCAGTTTCATATTCATATGCCTTCTTCCACTTGATTTTCTCTCTTGCTAGCATGTATTCTGCAATGCTTCTAACAGGTTGGTCTACCTCTGTTGGAGAGAGTGGTAAGTTGGTTGACGTCGGGTGGCCTTCAGTTTGGGTTCGGATTGTCACTTGCTGGGCAACTGCCTTGCTATACTTGTGGTCTCTCGTAGCTCCTATCATGTTCCCTGAGAGGGAGTTCTGAGTAGTTTGCTCCTCAATTTCTCATGGTTCTGATGAAGGTTGTGTGTAACCTAATTGCTATGCCCTTTGTTTGCAATTGTTCAGTGTATATCATAATATGCATCTATATCCACAAACACGGCAGAAGTATGTTATGAATGACAGTTTCGATTGGCTTGTTTTAATTGTATAGTGAGATTTGTACCCTGAATTATGGCCATATAGTTTATGTATGCATCTTCCATTACAGTTTCACATACAAATTGGACATGTTTTCTACTATTCATGTTTAAACAAGAGATGTGTTGGGTGCGATTTGCGACATATGTTTGGATCTTATATTTATCTGTCTTTGTCAAAAGGGCATCATTTGTCGAATCCTTTCGACCTTCGAGGGAAGTGTTATATTATTTTCGATTGTTGATCTTTTTATCAGAATATTGAGTTTTTGCATTGACTTTGACTTTGCCTTTAACTCTTTGTAATTGTTCATCGAAAATGCATTTGACAAAATTTTAATTCTATCAATAGTTTAAGTCTTGTATTATGTGGATTTTCTTTATCAATTTATGGATGTATTTTCCTGTAATAGTAGAAAGAAAGTACATTAAGTCTTGATTATTTTTATAACCAAATTCAACTATTTTAAAATTATTTAATGATATTAAATTTTTTACTCATAATTTAGTTTTTCAAATTAATTTTCAAAATAATCATGTTTTAAATTTTTTTTTTCAAAATATCTCACTTTTAGAAGAAGTTGAAGTGGTGGGGTCAATTGGATTTAGACATTATAGCATATGGTGTTGCCAATTTAATTGGCGCTAATATCCAAGTGCATATGGTGGTGGGGTCAATTGGGTTTTAGACATCATAGCATATGGTGTTGCCAATTTAATTGGCGTGCATATGGTGTTGCCAATTTAAATGGCGCTAATATACAAGTGCATAAATGTGGTGCCAATGTACAAGTAGAATTTTCTTAGTATAAATGTTAAATATTAACATTTAATTAAAAATACTTTTACATAAGCAAACGATAACAACTGAGTTGGTCATACCAAATTGGTTCCACACCTTTTAGCTATTTTTATTTGTTGTTTTAAATGTTGATTCATTTTGAGAATTTGAGATCTTAGGATGTGTTTTAAAAAATTCTTGTGTATGAAGCGACACGCTGCCATAATTGAATCCGCGATCCATATCAGAGTAGTTGGGATGTGTTGAAGGGGTAATTGGTGTGCGGTCTGTACGATTGAAGGGGGACATTGGTGTGAACAATTCGTTGGAGAAAGGTTGAAATGGTTGTTGTGGTGTTTGAAAGTCATATGGTTGTGATGTTTGTGTGTTTTGTCTATGGTGTGATGTTTGGGCATTTTGGCTATGATATGAGGAAAGGTTGATGTTATATATTCTTTGGGTGTTTTGGCTATATCTTGATGTTGTGTTAAAGGCATATGCATTTTAGATGTCTTGATAATAATTATTTTGTTGGCGATAGTATGAGGACGCTCTTTGTATTATGGTTAGGTGTTTGACATGTTTTGATTGTGGGTGGGTAATTTTGTTGGGTGGGATTTTGTGAGTAATAGATCTGATAATTTTCTGGAGGGTTAGACGTTGAAGCTTCTTGTGTGTAAGTGGTTTGTCGCGGGTCATATAAATATCTCTCTTCGGAGACAAACTCAGTTGCAATCAATATGTATCCAGCCATATAAGTATTAGTTGGTATAGACACTGTTGGCATCACAAGGTCACGTAAGACATGGTCAATAGAGTTCCTCCATTTACAACACACAAATTTAGCAAAGTCCTTCGAATTGGTAAAGTTTCATTGTTCATTAATTTTTAGTTGGTGCCATTGATCGAGGTCGGTCGGGGGATCTGAGATATTTTGAAGCATTTCGAACTGTAGTTTGACACGATCACTGTGGTGCAATTTCAAGCCTTCCGTATGCCTTACTCCCATGTCATTGGAACATGTTCATATGCTTTTCAAGACGCTTCCATGAATCTCTCTGATGTTTACAAAATTGTAAATATTTTCAATGTGTACGACAATTACTTCTGATAGTAGCATTGAGAGATTATTGACCTGTATATCAAGAGGGCATAGTTTGACACAGCGAAAACATGCGACGGAAGAAAAATGGTCACCCTAATAGCACGCGAGTTAGAACAAAAATGGATATGACTGATAAAGTGGTAAAATTATGTGGTTTATGTCGCCAGTGTGAACATAATCGGACAAAATGTCCCAATGTTAGAGCAAGTTCTACAAGAACATCTATTTGTTTTCTTTAAGTTATGTATAATACAGTAAGATTTTGTAACCTTGTTATTTATAACAAATCAACTTTTGATTACTACATAAACTTTTGACACGCAAACAACACAAGACATATTTTTAGCAATCATGATAGAGTTAGTGATGAAAATGAAAGAAGACTTTCAAATGATGTGTGAATTATAGTAAATGGTAGGAGACACTTCTTTTTGTACTAAAAATATTCTGTTTGTACACTAGTATCAGACCAATTGACGGCACCTTTATGCACTTGTACACTGACGTCAATTGAATTGACAACAATATATAGTGTCTCCAATTCAATTGGCGCCTCCACTTAAATTTATAACGGCGTCACCAATTCAACCGACAACACTTCAACCTCATCTAAAAGTGATGTATTTTGGTAATTTTTTTTAAAACATTGATTATTTTAAAAGTTAATTTAAAAATCTGTATTTTAAACTTGTCCTTAATTGAATTAAAAGATATTTAATACATATAATTGAGTGACTTTTTCTACTAAATTTTAAAATAAAAGTTAAATAAATTTGATATATTCTTAACATGAAAGCTAAATTAAATATGCTTAATCGTATTTATTAATCATTTTTAAAAGAAAAAAAATATATTCTTACACCATAATCTATACTTACGCGGTATTTTACGGTTCATTGTATTGGTCAACCGTAAAGTATTTAATAATAAATTATTAAAAGATCTTGATATAAAATTGTATGATTAATCAACTTTTTAATTTCATTAACCAACATTTTATATTTCATTAACCAAATTTATTCTATTACTAACGATTATTTTTAATATCTATTACTTATTAACTAACTTCATTAACTAACTTTTTAGATTTTATTAATAAACTTTATTTTATTATTAAAATTTATTTTTAATATTCGGACATCTATTAACCAACTTCATAATTTCATTAATAAAACTTTTTACATTTCATTAATCAACTTTGTTTTACTACTAAAAGACATTGTTTAGGTACTGTTTGTAGGTACTGTTCACGTAACTCTTCATGTCACTAATCACTATTTATATAATTATTTACCTTGTAAATAATGAATGCAATAAAGCCGTAAGAGGTGGTGTAGGAATAACATATATGTTTTAAAAATAATTTTATTCTTTTATAATAGTGATAGGTGATGTACTCAATTATGGGTGTGCATAGTTGGTTATTTTTAAAAATCAAACCATAATTACTTTTACATCAATTAAATGGTTTGGATTCATAACCATAACCATATTCCAATCAAAACTGGTTATAAAATCGGTTATAAATTTGATTATGGTTATATAACCGATTTTAAATCGGTTATTAATTTTTTTTTCAAAAAATTTAATTAGTTTTTTAAAAAAATATTTTTTTTCAAAAATGTTTTTAACTTTTTTTTCGAAAAATTTAATTTATTTTTCAAAAAAATTAATTTATTTTTTTCACAAAAAAATTAATTTTTTATTTTCACTAAAAATAAGTTTTTTTTTTTAAAAATTATTTATTTATTTCAAAAATAAATTAAAATATTTTTTTGGTGGCTTCTAAGGTAAGGGTTCAATTAAATATCTGTTAATGAAATACTATTAGATCTAATTAATAAAATAATTTTAATTTAAAAAAAGAGAAAACAAATATACCTTTTGATCTGACCTGATCAGAAAGGGATCACTGGCTGCCACGTGTCTTCGACTTGTTGCCTGCTCACCGGTATCGAAGAAGAGGAGGGGGGTGTACCTGCAAGACACTCTGATGTTAAAGTAAGCGTATGGGCAGAGTGATCACAAGTACAGAAAAAGGGTAAGAAGTGAATTACCTGACCCTCTTATGAAAGAGAGTATTTATAGAGAGACTCCATCGCCGGGCCAACGGTCACTTGTGTTGGGCTGGAATGCCAAACCCAACCCAGGTGACTGCTAGGGCTTACGTGGCATAGTGAAGACCAGGATGTGGTCTTCGCCCTAGTCCAACTGTCCCGTGATCTCCGGAAAGTGGGTTTGACCTGCTCTTTCGGAGGTGGGCAGTTGGTTGGTGACGTGTCCCCGCGGAGGGCAGGTCCTGCCCGCGGAGAAGGCAGTGTCTGGTCGATGGGAGAGTCTTGTGCTCGACACAGATGGGGCAGTTTCTGCCCGCGGAGGGGCATTACCTGTTCGCCGGGGACCTTGTGCTCGAAGGTTGCGACCCAAGCTGGACTGGGCTTGGCAGAATATTATTGGGCTGGGCCTGCCTGGCCAAGCCGGGGCCCAGGCCAGAACAGGAGCCCTCCAAGTCATAGCTCTGAGGGAGGGAGTGAGGACTTGATGACATTGTGTCGGGGATGAGAGATTTGCCCGTGGAGGAAGAACTCTCCGGCTCGTGTTTAACGGGGACGCGAGTACGCGAGCCCTTCCTCGTCGTTGGGTGTCCGGGCTTTAGGGCACGTGCCGACGGGGAGACATGACGGGACGCGACTGTCATCCTTCGCCATGTGTCATGCGCTGAGTGGCTGCTAGGGCGACTACCCTAGGGTACTCGAGTGCCTAGCGACGCTTCGAGTCCCGTGCTGGGGTATAAGTAAGCGAGTCCCCGCTCATTCTCCACTTTTCGCCCTCTTGCTCTCAAACTCTCTGCCTTGCCGCCTTGCTACCGTCTGATCTCTCCGTCGCAGCAGCCGCCACGTACTCCGTCGCAGATCGAAATATAGTAAGTTTCTTTTCTCCTTTCTTTCATTTTTCCC